CACCAAGGTACCGACTGCTGCGAGTGTCCTGGAGAGTTTCGATGCCTTTGCCTAAGACCGAGGTTGCGAAGAGACATCTAAACTCTGTGTATGAAAACACTACCAATTTGGTTCGGTGCAAAAACGCCGCCTGTCAACCCTAGAGCCGATTTGGGTGGTGCTCCGATCGTTGCACGGATGAAAGCGTTTTCGCCCTCTGAATTTGGAACAAGTCTCATACAACTTTTACAGCCACTGCGCCATGTCAGGTGGAGACTGGAATGTGCCGGGTGCCCATTTGGGCACGGCACCCAAGATGAGGACAAAGCCCCTCCGAGTCGATTAAAGGGATCGGAATCAGAGACACCATTTTACTTTTCAATTGTTGTTGGTTTTCCCTCGAAAGGAGAATCTATTCTTAGAGTCAATCACCCGAACAAAAATCGTCCTTGAAGCGAATATCTCCCGAACAAATCCGTTGATGCATCCTTTGATGCTCGTTCTGTCTTCATCCATCTCTTTTTTACAGGTGGCTACCGTGAAACCGACGCTGCGCCCGGATCCCAGTCGGATGGAGCCGCAGCGACGCGTCTCAACGGAGCTGGCCAGGATGTGTCAGCAGGAAGGATGCACTTTCTGGGAATGGTGCTTCCAGGATGGATGTATCATGATGTATCTGGTTTTGTCCATGGGCAAAGGGTGTGTTGTTGTTGTGGTGGTAGTTGCGGTTGCGGTTGCGGCTGTGGTTCTTGTTCTTGTTCTTCTTGTTGTTCTTGTTCTTGTTCTTGTTCTTGTTCTTGTTCTTCTTATTCTTGTTGTTGTTGTTGTTGTTGTTGTTGTTGTTTTTTCTTTTGTTCTGGAGAAGGATGTACGATCACACTTTCACCGCTGAAAAAAGAAAGTCTTTCACCGGAAGGAGGCTTTCGCAATGTTTTGTTGGAAATCCCTCACCTCCGATGATCAGAATGATGTCGTTTAACAGAAAGGTACTTCCTCTTGCAGAATGCCAGGCATTTGGGAGGATGTTGGGCGTCGTCCATGGTGGACTCTCGCGCCAAGGATCAACAAGTTTTACTCCTTGGCGTCGCAGGACTTTGCAGCTGCGTACCACAAAGCCTCGGGCTGAGCAGCCTCGTGTTGGTTTGTTCAGTAGGTGTTGATGGATTTGGTTTGGCTATGTTTGATTGCTTTTGATTTGTGGTGCTATCATGTGTTTTGTGGACTATGATTCTGGAAGGGAGAACCAACAGCAACCCTATGCCCCTGCCAGATGCAGTGCCAGAGTATCGCTGGACGGGCATTGGTCATTCACACAACAGCTTGTAAAAAATGGTGAAGTATACTTCTTGTGCTTGTCGATTTGCTGTGTAGAAAGAGTTAAGAGATGTCCCATGCCACTTACAAGCAGCAAGGTTGAGGTGCTCAAACGGCAAACCAAGTGAGAGAGCTCCATGAATTTGGCTCAGACCGTGAAGTACCCCATATTCCTACAGTGGCACAACGCGGGTCTGGCATGTTTGAGTCTGAGACAGGTGCAGCTTGCCAAGCTGACAAACAATGAGCGCCATCGCCATGGCACATCGACTTGTTGCTCCGAAATATCGAGATCTTACGCATGAATTTGTAGCAAGTAGAAGTAGAAGTTTCATGAATTTTCGAATTTCAGGTATTGATGTTGAGGCCCTGGGGTAAGTCTCATGTCACAGGAACAGATGCCAACTCCGCCCATTCGATTTACCAACTCGGTGCCCGAAAGTCAAACTCGGGCGACATGGATCGAAGCACCAGATGAACCTGGTGGGCATTCAACCAAGAACAAGGGAGACGAGAACAAACTACTCCAGACGAATCAAGAGAGCTTTCGATGCCTAAAAATGTACTCACCGCACTCCCCTCTCTTCTTTGACGACCATCCTTTCACAAGACAGGACTGGGTAGGAATTCAGACCACCCACAGCCAAACAAATTATATAAGTCTTCTTAGGATTCAAAAATACCGAATTCGACCACCTCACATGCCACGCCAGATCCTTAACACATCCACTTGTCATAGAAGGCCTCTACATCGAGATGAACAATGGGTTCCCTCCAGTGTTTAAATACTCTGAAAAGAACCATCTCCATCCTATTTTCACGGCTTAAGCTCCAAGTTTGGAGAGATGAATGGAAAAACCCATGGTTTCCCCTCATCGAAGGCCTAGAACTCTATCGATCCCCGTCGCCAGGATCCCCAACAGGCGCTTCTAGACCTGGCCTCCACGGCGTCCGGCATCCGAGAGGGGTGTGACGGACTGACGGTGAGTTCATTGTTTTCAACACCGCAGCAATACAGGCCGATATTGAATCGGCTAATCTGTATGATATTGATGAAGATAGATGAGCTCTACGGACATGGCGGGTTCTACTTTGCTAAGCCCTTTGATTCTCCACCGGCATCCTCCATGCAGGAACTCCAATAGGGCCTTGGTGCTGGTGGTCGTCCCGGTGGTCATCGTGGTCCTCGTCGTGGTGCTCAACGGCTGGGATCCCGTGGGAGAGAGAGAGAGAGAGAGAGACTCTAGAGTTGCTTTGGCAGGCAACCCATGGCAACCCTCTATCAATCTAAGCATGGACATGCACTTCCTGCCTCCTTGGAACTTGAAATCTAGGTAGCACTTTCACATGCTTTCACCATGGATTTTGCAGGCCTTTAAAGGAAATGGCCCCAAGAACAATCTCAAAAGCTCTTCTGTTTGACCACCATTAGTTGGTTTCATTAGACCCCAGGAGTCATACGGCGTGTTGAGCTTCTTCCTGAGGCCTTCTTCAGCTTCTCATCTTTTTGCAAGTTGCCGTGCTCGTGGCATGTGCTTTCACATCTTTCACTCGCTGCAAGTCGTTGATGTGCGTTTCAAGCAGTAACACTGGGGAAGCCGAGACAAGGTCAGTTGGATCATATCTCGATGAATCCAAGGTCAGTGGGGAACGCAACATCTGTCCAAGTGACAAAGGTCGGTGAACGTCCGGCAGTTCCTCCTCCGCGAGTTCAAATGGGCTGTCCCAAATGGGTCCCAAACATGACGGTCCCCGGCGCTTCTTCTCCGTCTTCGCAAGAGACGATGGTCATGCGCGCCTTCTCCGTTCGCCGTGATGCGCCGACACGGCCAGGGGCCACACAAGCCACCCACGGGCGACGGGATGATTGGACGTATGGGTCCGACGGAATGAGTCATTGGGAATTGATGGGAGGGGTGGGATTCAGAGGTTGAACAAACATATCGATTTGCCTGAGCTTCAGGGACAGGGGATGGCTTAGCAGTTGTTTTCGCCTTGAAGATCTTGAAGACACAGAGAAGCAACTGGATGAGTTTGAGTGCCAACCGGACTTCTATCGTGACATGTCATATTACATGAGATGGATCATCTCAGATTGAGGTCAGGTTGGGAGACCTAAGGATCACAAGATCATCCATCCAGAATCTGCAAGCTCATTCCAAGCAAGCGAAGGTCCCATCGGGCATTGGAATACATTCATTTCCCATGAGGTCAGGTTGGTCGAACCTAAGATTCTTAGACTAATACCTTCTTGTTACTAGTAGTAATGCCGTAATGCCAGAAGTTACTAGTAGCTTCTTGCTCAAAGTAGCGATGCCCTTGTTACTAGTAGTCTTTCACTGACGGACTGACGGGAGGTCGAAAGCTGCATCCTTCCATGTATAGCTTTCAGCGAGAGGAGCAGGCACGTCTACACGTCTACATTGGGATCGATGCTCCGCAGTTCTGTTGGCACTTGTCCTGTGAGGTGGATGAAGCTTCCTTGTAGAATTTTAGAAGATGAATCTGTCCAGCGTCAGTGAACGAAGGCTTTTGCTTTGGGTGGTTGTCATTCGAGAGGTGAAGCTTGGAACATCTTGGCATCTTGGAGCCGAACCCCAGCCCAGAGAACCCCAGAGTCCAAATGAGCTTTTCAGGGTGGATTGGATTTGGGCTGGAATGAAATCTTTCGCTCCAAGAGTTGTTTTGGATGTCATTAATCATGTTGATTTTATTTGTGCCAAAGTTATCTTTGTTTAACTATAATCCACCGGTATTGTTGGGATCTTGGCATGTTCACAAGCACGTGGCCCAGCGACAGGAAGCCACAGGCCCAGCGACCTACGTGCAGTTCTGAGAAGGTTCACCAGCGAATCCAGAAGCAGCGTCACACATAAGTCGCATCCCCCATAAGTCGTGGAGAGTGAAAAGGTTTCTCTATGCGACTCTATGCGTCATCGTCGATGTGTTCACCAAAGGAGAAGGAACAACTCAGCTTTCTAAAGAGTCCTTTAAGCCGAATTGATATAAGAAAAGTTGGGACACTACGTCGAAGAGACAAGTCAAGCCAGCCATCAAATGGCACGTTCCGAACGCATGCGGAACGGGACTCCTTGGCTGTGAAGGTCAATCAGGTCTCAATCAGATGGACGGGTCGATGCGAGGAAAAGGTCATCTCGAGCAGGGCAGGTGCTAGTTCTCTTAAATGCTTAATCGTTTATTTTGTTGTTTCTTCTCCATGCTACGAAGGCATGAAGATTCTGTTATGATATAATATATAAGATGCTCACCTATTGCGGAATAAACTACTGTACATATAGAATCTTCTATTGACAGAAATATGTTTTGTGTGTTTCTCTTTTGTATTATAGAAATCAGGCAACTGGCTGGTTTGATTCATCGCTTTGCATCATTTGTCTCGAGCCTCATTGATCTGGAGCGATTTGGTTTCTCTTGTTTGCACGTTCATTCGCTTGTTTGCGAGCACAAGACATGTTTTCTTTGGTTCAGAACTCTTCAGGATTTGGGCATGTTTTTTGACATTTCTTGTCCGACATGTGAGACGGATTTCCGCGGATTTCGCCAGTGGTTCCGGCCCAAGCAGTTGTTTCCTTCGCCCGAAAAGGACGCACCCAAGCCGTGGTCCGCCCTCCAGCCGTCTCATGCCCTTCGGACCCTTTGCGCTCCGCTTCCACAATGCTCGGCACGAGAAGCTGGTCCATCGAGTCATGTGTCGCCCGGAGAACGAACCATCCGATCCGCCCACGTCACCAAAGGGCCGAGGGAAGTAAACAGGGGGAATCGCCGAATGTCAGGACCAGGTGGGTCTTCGAAGAGAAATCCGGACTTTCTGGGAGAGGAATTCGCCGAAAAGGCTGAAACAGAAGCAAACATCCGCTGTGTTTTTTCATGCTTTTGTTTTCCGTATGAAATAACTGCTAAACATATGACATGGGCTTGGTTGACCAACATGGTCCTGTGGTTTGAGGCTTGGCTGGGACTGCCATGGTCCTTGTGGTTCTCCGATTCCTCTTGGCCCTTTGCGTGAATCAAGATGTCATGAAGGATTTCCAAAAGCAGCAGGAGCCAGCAGGACAGGAGATCCTCGACAACACGGCCATGAAAGTTGGAATTCCCATTATTGGTTTGCTGTTTGCATGCGTGATCCCATGCTGTGGCTACTTTGGTGCAAAAAACAACAACAGCACGGCTGTGTGCTTCTTTGCATACTGTAACTGCTGTTTCGGTTTCATTCAGACTCTTGCTGCAATCCTTTGCGTGGTGGGCATCGTTGCGATGTCAGTGCTGAGTGAGCAATGCAAGCCCGGGGTGGCCACAGACCCACAAGTTCAGGAGACATGCGCCAACGTGCTGAACAGCTGCAAGTACATGAAGAGTGATCATTTCGATTTGCAGAACTACGATGGATGTTACGACCATATGAGCGAGCAGTTCTCTTTCGCCATTGGGATTCTCTCAGTGATCTTGGCCATCAACTGCTGCACCTGCTGCTTGGCATGTGCAAGCTGCTGGTGGGGTCGTGAGCTACACACTTCCATGCAGTTCAACGACATTTGCATGGACTCATCCGATGATGACGTGTGAGGGCGGCTGAAGCGGAACGAGCCAGGGCGGCCTTCAACAAATCGAAGATGAACAATAGACGACAAAAAATACATGTAAATACAGAAAATTGTCTACATGTTGCGTCTTGCGTGTGTTGTTTTCACATGTGTTCACCAACATGATCTAGAGAATCGGTGAGAATCGTTCAATGCTTGGGTTATGCCTGGCCACCTTTGATTGGTCATATTTGATGATGTTCTTTGGCCAGTTTGTGCAATACTGGAGGCGACCTCCTCTATTAATAAGACTAGATTAGCTGATGAATCTTGCTTGCCTTGCTCCTGTACAATGGGCTCAGGGGTTGGGAGAGATCAAAGAACCTCACGGAGCATTGGAGCATCAGCGAAAATGGATCGCCAGCAGCTAGCAGCATTCACTGGTGAGATGCTACAGATAGTGCTACAGATATTACATATTAAAACCGCGGGGAGGCATGATCTGGATCCATGCAGCATGCATCCAACAACAGTGCAGATTCAAGTCTGCAGAATTGTGTTTCCATCCCGCCTCATCACGCCGTTTTCAACGCCCACACAAACGCCTCGCCTGGCTATTTGGGGCTCCCAGCGGCTCCCTCTCCGGGTCCGACGACGGCGGCTCCGGGACGCGATGCGCCCGCATGGCGGTTCGTCCATCGTAGCGGCGTCCAACCTCCCAGCGCCCTTGACCAACGGAGAACTGCTGCAGGTCGCCAGCCTGAGCGATGTGCCCGACTCAGAAGCTTTGGCGGCGTGGCTCTCGGAGAGAGGCTTAGACACCTCAGACTGGGGCAAAGAAAATACAAAAGATGTCAGCAAGTACTGGAAGGCTCCTTGGCTGAAGCATGCTGAAGCTATCGGAAGGCTATGATGTTTGAGAATAGTAATTTAATGTCTTATGGAATTCAGAAGCAATCCCTCTTCCTGCCATCCGTTGCCCCAGATTTGGGGTCTTTACATCATGGCCAAGTGATAAGGTTTCTTTTTCTGTCACTTTCGCCGGTCTCAGAGGAGCCCGCGACTGGAATACCAGGACGTCAACCCAAGTCCCCAAGGTCTCCCCACGGCGCATGTCGACCGCAGCGCTCCCAGACGACCATTCCGGCTTTCTAACGAAAGGGTTCTCGGTGAAGGATGGTGATGGTTGTCACAGGTTCGCAGGTGAAAGGGTCCCAACTGTGCATGAAAGAACCCGCTTCTTGTATGGCTTCACAGTGCTTGACTCTCGGTTGGAAACTGGATGCCACCGTTGGTTCCTCCCTTTCTACGCATTGGTCCTCCCGCCTCCCTTTCATCATCCGAGGAGATCAAGCTGAACGAGGCGGGCCTCGAAGTTTGGAAGACAGCCGATGGGACGCTGCAGCCCGTGCGCACCACCCACGTGTTGCGGGCCAAGGTACGGGGCGGGTCTGCTGGGAGCACACCCGAAAAAGCACTGCACCTGCGAGCATCCTTGTTTTAGAGTGGAATGTAGAAATACCTGTCAAAGTGGGTGCTTCGGTGGAAGAATTGATCACTTAGTTTGCTCACTATATCGATCACTAATGAAACCATCAGGACTGTGGAAGATAGTTTAGTCTCTCAGGTGACCTCGCCCGACCGGTATCAGCGTGGCATCTTCCTCTTCAACACCTGGCAGCAGTACGGCGACGGGCGCACGCGCACACGGAACGGTCTGCTGTCCGAGAAGTTGACCATTGATGAAATGCCACTGGAGCAGAATCTTCACGAGGTGCCGAGGGTATATTGGTTTTTGTTTGAAGGACTCGATCTTGCTGTAGATACAATGGGAGGGGTGATCCAGGTGATCCAGAGGAAGGATTAGTGAGCTGCTGAGATGATCATAATCTGAACCTTTAGTCCAGTTGATGAACCAAACATCGCAAAATCATACAAAATCATCAAAGCTGTCCAAGGCACAGATCCCAGATGTCATTTGAGTCCTTGGCACTTTTCAATCCACAATCCCTTTGTTCGTTGGACCGGAACGGTGACCTGTCGTCCGTCCGTGCGTTAAACCTTTCCACCGCAGGTCTGCCGAAGGGCGGTGACGGAGGAAGAGATGCAGCGGGTCGTCGAGTCCACCATGAAGATTGGGCCCGGTCGACCGGCGCCGGAGTTCGACCCCAGCTATCAATGCCCCTTGGAGGTGCCTTGGTCCTGGTGGGTCCCTTGCTCCGGCTTTTTCGTTGCAGCTGTTGAAACGTTGAAACGATTTCAGAGTGTGATGAGTAGTGTGATGTAGGGGGAAGAATCATTTGAGGGGGCCCGGACTTATAAAGATGTCCCTTTCTCCATCGACAGCACGACGAACGTGACGCCCGATGCCCATCACGTCATTCGAGGTGGTCGATGAGCATTTCGTAGATCACATCATCGAGCTGGAGAAGTCCAAAAGTTATCCAGGAGAAATTTATAAAACCATCGATCAGACATGGGGCACGGATTAGCATTATTGTTACGGACGTGGTTCAAAGTTGATGATTCATCACACGATGCTGTTTTTCGCATGTTGTTTCCTGTTGCTGCTGCTGGCGCTGTGTTCGCTGCTACTGTTGTTCTCCTCGTCGTTGTTGTCGTTGTCGTCAAGAGGAAGTTCCACTCCGAGGTCGTATCAATGGTTCGAGCGGCTCGTTGTTTTTCCCGACAGGTTCAAGATCCCTTTTCAGCAATCAGTGTTGAAGATGTTTTCCAGGTCTTCGAAACAATGAATTTCTGCACTGAAACAACATTGTAATACAACATATCCGGTAAAGCAATCATGTGCAGCTACTGTTATTTTTACTAAAGTTGTTTTCCTTGTCTTGTGAGACAGTCAAGTTTTCTGTGTGACTTGTACTTAAGCTGAATCAGCTGGTACTTGCAAGTCGCGAGGGGGGTAGGTTGAAGTTTCCTGCCAGGACTTCTCACCATGTATCATTTGTACACTGTCGACATTATTTGCACTGGCTTGCCGTTAACTGACTTGAACACACTTGAGTTTGAACATCCCGACAAGGAGACGGGGGGTCAGCAAACTGCACATGTTCAGCTTTACGTCTTTAATTGTTCAGAGTGTTTTCTAATGTTTTCTAGAAAATAAATAGGCAACGGCAAAGCGTCATTATTTAGCAAGGTGCATGGCAGAGACGTGAACAGGGTAGCCTCAAGGGCATCAGCGATTGCCAAAGCTGTTTGTGCTTGCTTTTTGTAGGACCTAAAGATTGAAAACAGCCCTGTGGAGGATGGCAATCGCAAGCTCAAGTATATTCATGCCTGGGTGTGGCTTGAGCATCTCGCTGCCAATGATGTTTAAGTTTTGTGCTTGGTGTGGTGTGAAGCAATATCATGCCAATAGCATCCGACAGCAAGCATATTTTTTGCGATGGCCCGGCTGCGTTCAGCATGGAGGTGGCCACAGATCCAGCGCTACCTTTTTGAAGGTAGTGTGCTGAAAGAGACCAAAGGTAAAGGCTCCTTGGCTTCAGCTGACATGTGAGTTGGCAGTTTGGGCAAAACGGTCGGTCGTTTGAGAAAGTTGGCACAACAATAGTTGCGTGAAAGGAAACGCGTCGACCACGTGAAACCATGGGTGGCTTATGACATGACCTACCACCTTCAGATGCCCCGGGCCATCATCAAACAACAATTTCTGCAAGGCCGTCATAACAAAGCCCATACAATCATTTTTGTGCAGATTTGTGGGCATTGTTCTCATCTATGATCTATGGGTTGTTTGATGTTGTTTGAATGATGCCAGAGCTCACTAGCGGAGCCCAGAAGCTACTTTCAGGGAGATCCATGCAGGAACCATGGAGGAACCCCCTAGCCCTGGGTTCATCAACACATATTGATGTTCAAACTCTGGAACCATCCCAGGGTCATTCGGAGATGCAGCTGCATTAGCCATGTGGCTGTCGCAGTTCGATCTGCACATGGCATCTCGGCACGGCAGTTTTCGGATGGGAATTCGCTGCACAAACGCAGCATGATCACTTGTACATCTGCAAGAAGCTGGTAGTAGCAACGTGAGAGTCGCAGAACCTTGCCTTGACTTCCAAAGTGGCTCAATCATTCATCACCTTCAACACCCCTTTCCACGGAATTGTCCTTGGACATAGGACACATCTGTTCTGCACATCCGCTCCAGAACGACACATCCTTTGCGAGGACCGATGGGGCAAAGGAACCCTGAAGTCCGTGGAGAGCTTGTTCCGAGAGATCGAGAACGAAGACTCGCAACTGGAGCTCTGGGGCCGTCATGATGGGGTACCCATGCTCCTTGTCCCATTTTTTACGTGGTGCGTCCGAGGGGGCGTGGAGACCACCCAAATGAAGGTTCAGCTCCACATATGTTCCACAAGGAAACAACACAGAATTTGCCATGTTTTGCGTTTTGCATCTTTTTGACAGCCATTTGTTCCAGGTAGCGGTTGGATGGCACCCCATTTTTCAGACAACGCCATGCTGGGTTTGGTGAGCACCGCTGGAAGGCTTCGTAGGTTGGCGCTGACTTGTTCCTCTATCAATGTTTTTGCATCGGCAGTGTGGCGGGCTCACATTGGAAATGGGCAGTCGATGTGCATACTCCCACAAAATTCCACAGCGAGAGACAGAGAGAGAGAGAGAGAGATTACCAAGATACACCTAATAGTTATTTTCAGGTTGAGAAGACAGTACTGTATATATACAACTGAGGGCAGTTCTATGCTTGTGTCACGGAGCTTTTGACAAAGTTCTTGGGGATATGTCGATTCTTGTTCGACCTGTTGTACTGGTTATACATGGTTATACTGGTTATACTATATAATACTGCGTATTATCCATCTCTCCCAATCTCCATCTCTCAATCTGCCGCACCTATCTTGAGCCGAACCAGGCTCATGCGTGTGACGCATGTCCTTCAGCTACGGGTGACTCATTCAGATCCAAGTTTGAAGGGGAAATTCCTCTTCAGTTCTTGGTCGGTCGCTTGGGTCCAAGCGACTTGCGGATGGTTTTTTTGGTCTTGCGGTTCGGACTTGGAGGCAGGAGACCGGTGGAATCGAACACAACCCGTCGAGCGAGGAAGTGATGCCACACCAGCTGAAGTGTGCCGTTTGGTGTTGATTGCAAGAGCATGTGCTCTAAACTTTGGTATTGCGGTTTGAATAGCTATATAGGGGTGGAATGCCACCATGTCGTGTGGAACATGCTTGGATGAGCAAATCGTATTTCGATCAAGGCACATCAGATGTCGTTTGAAGCTGCCAAGGAGTCAGCCACTGGCAAGAAGCGTGTAACCCACACGCTGCCAGCCATGAAGCTCACCTTGTGCCTTGTAGGGGAATTGCGGAGTCCAAGCCCTGGTTTCCCTGCATCTCATGTGAGCAGCTTCAAAAACCTCTATGATGAAAAGTATGCAAACTGTAATCTCACATTCTTTCGCGAAAGCCAAAACGCAGGTCGCGAAAGGTTCGCGAAAGCCCCGTGAAAGAACCCCAGAAGAACAGCGTCGCGAAAACTTTCGCGAATGTCGAATTTCTTGTGCATGTCGTGTTGTTTATGTGGGTGACCATATTTTTATAAATGCAGGCAGCCGCAGCAGGCCAGCCAGCCAGCCAGCCGCAGCAGACCAGCCAGCAGCAGCAGCAGCAGCAGCACTGAAGAGCAAGTGTTTCAGGGGAAAATCGAAAAGCCCAGACGAATTTCCGCGAAAGCCGCGCGAAAGCCTCGCGAAAGAACCGCGAAAGTTGTATCCGGGAAAGGTATCTGGCCCCAGCAAAAAGTTTCAGCAAATTTTCCTCCTCTTCTGATGACAGCAATAATAATTGAACGGTGCTGCTACAACTCCTTGTGCCAGGATGTTGCATGATGTTGCCGGAAAAATTGTTGTTTAATTTTGACCACCCTAAGGACACTTATATCGGATAACTTATATAGATCAATCACTTTATTGCACAATATCCCAATCGAATTTCCCAATCGAAAACGAATCGCCGCGAAAGCCGCGGCGAAAGCCCCACATAACACCACACCTTCCGCGAAAGCCAGAATGCAGACCGCGAAAGCTCCGCGAAAGCTCTGCGAAAGCAAACCTGGATTATACAAAAAAGTAATAGAGGTTTTCGAAGCTGCTCATGTGGGTCAAAATTAGCTTGCAGTACTGCAGAACCACTGAAATTTGATGTGGACACCTGTGATTCAGCGTTGTGGCAACTGGTTCAAACATATTTATTGTACAGGCCACTTGAGAGTTACTGACCCACAATAAGAGGCAGATACCTCCAGCTCCGTCAATCTGTTTCTGCATCAAGGAAATACACACCTCTGGAACATGTAGACTGTAGACTATCAGAGGTGAGTCATATGCATGACAGAGGTGGGTACAAAATCCATCCACTTCTTAGACAGATTTGCGGAAAGTGCCATATGACTATCCACTTCTTAGACAGATTCTCATATTGGCTGTGGGACAAAATCAGGAGACCGACCTTTTGACCTACCTGGTGGACTGCTCCTTCGCTCCAAGGTGGAGCTTTCTCGTTCGCGAACATGGTGGGTGACCCATCCCATCCCACCCCATCCCCATTTGTTGTCCCCTCTTTGTGGTTATCCCCATTTGTTATCCCATCCTCATTTCGCACTTTACGCCATCGCCGATCCCAGGAAAGACATGCCGTACGACCTGGAGAAGTTCACCACCTGCGCCGGCGCCTTGGTCGCGGACCAGCTGAGCCACGTGGTCGACGTCCACTACCGGAACCTGGGCTTCCAAAGTGCTCAACGGGAGGGCGGAGGGGAGTGATGGGAGATGGGTGTTTTTGTGGATTGGAGCTATTGGTGATGAGTGATGTGCCAAGGTGATGTGACAGGGTTTGGAGTTGTGTCCGACGGAGTAGTTTGGGGTCATTGTCAAAGACATGGAGCCTCTCCAAATGTCTTATATAGATATGTTACATGCATGTCTCATGTATATATATATATATATACACAGTGTATATATATACATATAGAACAGTGTTCAGCTTCGTTCGGGGTGTGATGTTATTCAGTGGGGAATGCTGATTTTCTGCTGTGGCAATTAGTGTTCTACTGGTGCTTGAGTCTGCCTGTTTTTGTGTGGTTGTTGATGTTTTTTGTATATTTGGTTCGAGAAGGATGGCTTTGAAGCAGTTGGCCTGTTTGGCACCTGCACTCCAAGATGTTTTCAGAAAGCAAGATGGAGCCTGACGGGCGTAACAGAAGTTTTGATATCCTTGAACAAGAATCATAGATCATCCATCAATGCTCCTTTGTCAAGTGGTCCAAGCAGACGTGGAGCCATCCAAACCAAAGAGCTTGACTATGTATGTACTCGAAAAATCAATCTGTGTTGGAGTTGACGCTGTAATCTCACCAATACGTCAGAGGCAAAAGCAGGCCGTTGGATTGGAGTTTGGGGTATTGAAACGTGTAAAGCGATTTAATGCTTCACGGCAAGAGAGACCTCTTGTGCTCCCGAGGTTTACAGCCGACACGCCTCCAGTCTGCATGTGTTCGAAGACAAAGTCGGCTGCAGGCTGCGCCACAGATGAGAGAAGACATCTTTACATGATCGGATATGACATCAGCTTTGCAAGACCCGACTGAAAGCCAAGACATGCCACGACTGTTGGAGCCAACCCCCCAAGAAAGACCTGTCCAGAAGCCATCACTATTCACTATTGTCAGAGGGGTCTCTTATTGCACTATTGCTGGGTGGGAAAACCGAACAATTAAGAAGACAAGAATAGTCACAGTCATAGTACTCTCCGTCTCAGTTGATGCACGGTTTTTTTGAGACAGACGATTCTCATGCCGAAGTCACTGTTTAAACAGGGCCGCTACCAAAGAGGCTTTAACCCAGATGCTTGGTGTATCGACACCAGTGTCTAGCTATGTTTGGCTCGTCTTCGTGTTCTGCTTTGATCCACTGGCGGTCGAGCTAGGCTTCCACCTACCCCACGGTTTGCAAAGAAGCAGGTGACCCTCATTTGATGAAGATTCATACAGTAACACCGCTTCAAGAGTTGTGCTCGATGCCTGCCTGCTAAGTTCCTTGAGCGATTCCGAGCCCTCTGGTGTGCAAATGCAAGAAGTTCGAAGCTTGACTGAATCCGTGTCAGTTCTTCGACTTGGGAGTTTCTTCAGTTCGAGACGTTGACCTCTGAAAGGCGCCTGACGTGGATGATAGGACGTCTCCCAAATGTCAAGAATCTTACGCTGACATCAGTCACCCCCCAATGCTATTGAATGCAGGCTCAGCTTGTTGAATTGGCCATGTTTTCTAGCAACAACCAAAGCAGTGTCAGTCTAATGAGTTTATTGGATGGCTGCTAGCTTCTCCAAAGCACTTGATCAGAGCCGCGTCTTTGAGCGATTCATCAAAGTAGAACGACAGTCAGAATAGAAAAGCACAAAGTCTTTCACCTGTTTGAATGAGATCTATCAAAGCTTGCTTAAATTGGCTTACAGAACTGCAGATCAGAAAATAACACAATCGTCACAATTGTTGCTGTCGAAGAGCACCAATTGATTAAGTGGAATCAGAGTGTTGATGCTGTCAAATCAGACTGGTGATTTCCATCCTGACCGGCTATTCGCTTCATGGGCCCATCCCTGGCCCTGCTTCGTCGCCAGAATTTGTTGAACAACGTCATGACGTGGAGGAATCGCCCTCCTATAGGCCAGACACCGAGTTTCTGAACGAACCTCGTACCGCGGCACCGGGCACGCTCACCTACCGTGCTGCCAGCGGCACGGGAAGACGTGACGGGAAGACGTGACGCCTGCGTCCTATTCGACCGGCCGGGGCGGTGGCCGGTGGTGGCACATCCGAAGTCAAGATGTGAACGTTGTCCACGAAAAGACACGAAGTCCAAGTTCCACCGCATGAGACTTGACCTTTTTGTGCTTGGAGTTTGCCTTAAAAGAAAAACATAAGAAACTGCAGAGAACTTTTGACAGGGGTCTCTTCACCATGTACCACCTCTACTGCATGGAAGCTGAATGCACAGGCGTTGGGACATTGGGATTTGGAATCAAGTTGGAGATGACTTTGCTGCAGTGCTTTGCTGAATGTTGCCATTGCTGTCCATACTGAACCCTTGATACAAATTGTTGCATGGCTTCCTCAGCATCAAACAGCATTTGCAAGGGGGGATGTGTGGCTTGCGTGTTTTAGGGGTGCATTGTGCTGAGTATCCATAGGTCTGTCAGCACCTATAACAAATTCTGTGTAGTACTTTAATACTATCAGTTCTATGCACATGCGACACATGCATCCCGAGCAACGCACAGGTTTGCCAATCAGCGACTTCGGCTCCATGGATTTGAAGGACAGACCGGGACCAGCAGCTGGGCTGCCGGAGAGGAGCAGAAACCATTGAGACACGCTTGACCGTAGGGTAGGGTAGCAATTCTGGTCGAAACAGTGGATGAATTGTTGAGTTGAGTTGATGTAAAATACTTTCTCGTAGTAGAAGATGTGTGAGGCACTGGTTTCTACACTTGGTGTATGATGCCTGACAACTTATGGCACGGAACTCTTAGGGTGTGATGATTCCAACTTCGAGCATGGCAATTTGACCTTGCCACGCAGGATGGGGCTATTCACAGTTTAAAGGGTTGGACTTGGTCCTCAGCTCAACGAGTCATGGAGTCTTTGGCGAGACTGGCACCGGCAGAGAAGCGAAGGAAGGTTCGAACGTTTGGGTAAAAAGAAATAAGCACTTTGTATTGTAGTGGAACAGATGACGAGAAAGGTCTAATGAGTCTAATGTGTATTGTCATGCGGACTTCAATCATGTGGTAAGAATGGCTTGGCTTCGTATGGTTTAGTACCTTTCAGATGTCATAATATTAATAATAGGGTCGGCCGAGTACATTATCGCAAGTGGAGTTTCACAAGTGAGTCTGACTCTAAAAAGGGAAGATCAAGAATCCGCAAAGTTGATTTACCTCTCGGTGGGCTCGTGAAAGCTGATGTCGGCTCGCGTCGCTCGCGTTTTCACTCCTGTTCTTTGCTTTCACCGTTTGGGTGCTTTTCTTTGAAAACATGGCATGAAGAAGTGACCTCTTGCTGTACCATAATATGGCCAGGACATGCCAGGACCTGATTTCTGATTTCTATTGGGAAGCTGTAGAGTGGCCGCAATCATGCGCGCCAATACATCCGTTGTCATCACCAAATAGCAGTAAGTAACTAGTAGGAACTCTGGTCAGAAGAATTGCAATCCTTCGATCCTGATTTTGGAAGACAAACGTCGAACTTTGGCGTGTTGGCGTCTAAGGATATCATGAGACATCGTTCCCTGGTGCTGGAAAGAGAACAGGCTCAAAGTTAAAGGGGAACTTCCTCGTGCTGTGGTAATCCAGAACATTTGTGATGAAAGGCTGACATCATCTATAATCTTCAGCATGGCTAGGCTATAGACCAAGGGGCCTCCCTGCTTGTGTGTATACCTAAAGAGGCTTGGAGCTTTGGACGTGTGCTTTCGACGGATTCCCCTGTGGGAACCATTGCCTCATCGACATCCGTAGTCAAAGCTCACAAGGAACCTCATTAGGCTTGTCATTCCCAAAATGCGTCTCCGCAGGGCCAAGCGATCATGATTTGGCAAAAGATGAGTCAAGAGAGCTTGGATGTTGCTGGGAGGCCGGCCGGAGTCATCTCAGCTCCGTGAGGGATTACGGGCTTTGCCGCGCGTCAGAAGAATGCAGATTAGGATCAACAGGCTGTTGGCCATAGGCCGCCTATTTGGATTCCAAGGCAGTTTGTATCGAGAACCTGGCCGCTACCAGGCCACCTCCGTATTTCACCTCGACCCAACGCTGAGACCCAACTCGACGATCTGCTATGGGAGGCTGGATGACTTGCTCCGGAAGCTTGCAGAGACCTATCCCGAGTGTCACAGCTCCATCGCCGAGAGCAGAGACGTGCTGAATCTTGGCAAGAGATCGGGAACAGAGAGGAGGTTTTCACCAGGTGGAGGAACCAGGTGGAGAACTTCTGCATGAAATGATAAAGATCAGCAGGAGCGCCTTCCCAGAAATGGAATCGAAGGTGGGTGTAACATGTTGAAGAACATGGTTGGTTGACAGGGTCTTCCATGCCAGCTACAAAAGTAAGACGAACTAAGATGCTGTTGGGACTTGCTGTGAAATGGAAGGGAGATCTCACGCAGAATTTTGCTTGATCACTTGATCCCTACACTCAGCAGTGGAGGGGTGCACGGTCAGTGGGGGACTGATGGTTGCTGAGATATACAAAGGAAGTTACAAAGGAGCTTTGATGGATGGTGCCTTAGGTTGTTTGGGACCAAATTCCTCACCGCACCACACAGCAATTGCAGAAATCCGAGACGAGAACTCGTTCACGGCATTCTGTGAGTTCCTTGGAAAAAACAGATACCAAACATAGCTCATTGACTCGAGATCCACCGCGGACACCGATGAGTTGGACACCGGGGATCCAACAGATGGTGTGGCCCAAGCCATTGTTTTGCCCAAGCCTCAGGAGTGACGTACTCCAAGTCCACAGCCAATTGCTTTTGTGGCATAACATACCTGGACACTCCGTTTGGATGAGCTGTGGTAGAATTGGTCCATCAGCAGTTTCCACAGCTCCGGAAGACCTCAGGAGCTTGCTTGAGAACAAGCTGATGGATGCCTCAGCTGCTTGGCTCATGCAACTATAGTGGCAATATGTGGCAATACAATGCAGCGATACGTGTCAACATGATTCAACATGTTCATCTTAGTTTCTGCAATGTCAAACATGTGATACTTGGATTGAAGGAATCCGAGACTTGGTGCTAGATTGGCCCTCCTTCGTTTGTTCTCCCACCACCGGTCTAGAGAGCCTGGTTGATCGGAAGCCCTTGTAGCAGATGGCCCGAAAGCTCCGCTCCGATGTGCCACAACTCCCCAAGTCTCTACTAGTAGCAGTAGCAAATAGCTACTAGTAGCTTCTTGCTGTGACTAGTAGTAATGCCAGGAGCTACTAGTCGAGATGTTACTAGTAGCGATGCCTTTTGTTACTAGTAGCTTCTAGTTGCCCAAAATGATTTCTCAGACGCCTCCAGCGGTCCAGCTTTTTGAGCTACTGTGCATAGCTTGGGTGAGTGGTTTTTCCCCAAGCACGAGCATGCTTCTTTTCGACGTGTTGTGCCAACAGCTTCAAGAAGACCCTTCTTAAACTATGGGCGAACGGCTGTATGTTGGACAACTCCCGTGGTGAACACCCTGGGGCGGGGTGCTCGCCACGATGGCGGGTGGAAGTTTCCCAGGGTCTTCCATCATGGAACCATTGTAGTGGGGTCTGCACTTCTGGCGGTTTGCAGCCTCAACATGCAGAAGTCCGGAAGCACCTGAGTTCTGGGGATCGATACTTGGCCACCAGCTGATCAATCCAAAGGGATCCAAAGGGTCATTTTAAAGAAAAGGACATCAACTGTCACCCTTCTCAGCCGTCAGTGGGTCCAGGCGAAAGTCATGATGACCCAATCATGGGTCCAGTCGTGGTCCAGATGTCGAGGGAAAGACTATGAAATCAGGTCACCCGAACAGTTCACCATAAGTCGTGGGTGAACTGTTCAATTCGCCCAGCCGCCCGGCTTGACTGTCCCCACGAACCCGAGGGCCTGGACTCCGCCGATCAGAGCCCCAGTGGCCGGCGCCGTCAGAGCCCGGTGGCTCAGAGGTCGACTTGCGTCGCCTCAGAGGTCGCTCCGAGGTCGTCGCTCCGAGACAACACCGCGAAAGGAGAGCAGAAAGGACCGACCGATTGAATCGGAAGGACCGAATGAGAGTGGGAGAGCAGTGGAAAGGGACGATGTGATAAACTCTGTCTCAGATTGCGGAGTTGCTGCTTTGCCGAATAGATGATGCATTTGGGATGCGATTGTGGAGGTGACCAAGAGAAGGGAACATGCAACGGACATGAGGGGATGTTAAGACAGCTTTGACACTTTAACCTTCAATCAATTGTTTGCTGGTCGAACCAGTGTGACCTGATGGCCAGTGATGCTTCAGAAGAACATCCTCCACGTTTCCCGTTTCCAGAGATTCCCGCTGAGGCTTTGCAGAGACGCTGCCACCTTCGATGTTGGCGGCCATGGAGATGTGACCCGTCAGAGAGAGAGAGAGAGAGAGACTGTAGATGTCCGCACCCTGACTCACTAGATGGAAGTGGAAAGACCCCTCTTGGTCGAGGACAGTAAATAGTCTTCCAAGGGACCATTGTCCACTTCCACTTCCACTTCCATGTCAATGTAGAGAGCGAGATGGAGATAGGCTGTAGAATAGCTACAGGTGATGTTTTGAAAGGGTTTGGTAATGTCCACTGCGGCTAAGCGATGGGTTCTTTTTAGGCTGCAAATGCTTCACCCGTACAGAAGAATACCTAAACTTTAAATGAGGATTGCGAGAATGATAGATTAACTTTTAGACATCATGGCCAATCATGAACAGACCCCTGGGACTAGTGTGGGAAGGAAAATTGGACGGAGTCACTTGGAGCGAGTCGACTTAGCATCAGATGCCGCAAGAATAATATCAGATGACTTTCCTGCGAAGTGCTTGGCCAACACGACTTGTTGTAGGTCAAGCATCGCCTCTGACAAATTCTTGGAAGAGACGCAGTGGAAACAGATCCAGTTCGAGGCGCGGTCGCCTGTCCTTTGCATGCATGGCCACCTTCTTGGGGGATGAAGGAAATCACCCAAACATCGCGCGTGAGGCCGATCGTGCCAAGACAAAGGACTGCAGCGGGGGTCAGAGCTGAGCGCCAGCGCCATCCCTCAGTGGGATGAAAAGGATGACCAGGCCCCTCTGACAGGTATCAGCGCAAGGTCTTCTTAGATTATGTAGAAAGTTAAGGGATTGGTTTTCAAGTGAGAGAGATATTTCTGGCTAGCGCTAGTCACTTGGGATAGGTTGGTCGTGATTTCTCGAAACCTTCAAACTGGTCACTGGTCGCAGCGCTGAGCGGCTCCGACCTCCCGACAATCAATGTTTCACGCCCAAAAGAATCAAGATGTTGGATGTTGCGTTGATGAAGCAAAGATCCGTATGAAGCAAATTACGGTGTTGATGGATCCGTGTGTTTGGATTTTTTCCAAGAGCGAAGAAATGCCTTGTGCCTAGCACAGCTGGAATCTGCCAAAGGAGGTGTTGCCAGTGTTACAAGCAAAAACGAGCCCCTTCACAGCCCTTCGCATACATATGATGTTTTCAGGATGGGTCTTACCCCATTCAACAATACCCTCCAGGCACCGCAGTTGTCAGCCGCAAACGGCTGATGTGCGGCACTTCGCAATAGAGTGTGTGGTTCTCTCTGTATAAGCAGGATGTCCAAAAAGCTGGTGCGTGGTTTAGATGTGCATCTTGACCTCACAACTCAATTTTGTATGATTGTTGCTGTCCTGCGTGAGGGTTCTGGGAATGCTTTTGAAACCTGTCGTTCTGTCAGGGTCTATGCCTTATGGCAGTAGAGCATACAAAAGTGAGAACCAGGTGTGATTCTACCACAGGTACAGATGAGAAACCTCGATGGACACTCAGAGGGTGAACTGAAACATGACACGGCTGAAAGAGCATGTTGTCTTGTGATGTTTTCTGGGATCATTCCAGAAGTCCACATGTATTCAAGGGAATTCGTGCCCAGAATCCTGCAGAACCTGTGATTCAAAACGAACTTCCATGGCCACACTCGGTGCCATGTTGCATATTTTGTGCAATGGCCACTGTCACGTTGCAGCTTGGGCAGTAGGGAGACTCGGAGGATGAGTTCGGGCATTTCAAATTCTCCATCTGCTCTCATTTCAACAGAATTGGGACATGTTGACATACTGCTGTGGATGGAGAACAATCCAACTTGGGGTCGCTTGGGGACTAGAGAAGTAGGTTCAAAATTCCTAACATTCCTCCAGGTCTAGAAAATCAGTCAAAGGTTTCTTCAGATCTCCTGGCAAGTTCTGTCAGTGAAAATGGATATGGGTATACCCAGGGATGCAACGCCAAATGCATCCGAACCGTTGCGCCGTTCTGCAGATGGATGTGATGACCCCGACAAGGAACACCGTTCAGGCCAATAATTCGTATATCCGAAAACTGAACGAACACACGAAAACATCGGTTTTGGTCATATTGTTTTCTCATCTGACCAAACTACTCTCATCAAGGGCATCATTCTAGCTCTGCAAAGTACCAACTGGACCCACTTGGGGAAGCATGCAGGTCGACTTGGCTGTTTCACCGTGTTTCCCCGAAGCACTGATGACCAGGTGAATCCATTGGCAAGCCCTTCTTCCGGGAAGCCTAGCCAAAGACTGCAGGCCAATGTGAGCGTTTGTGGGCTATGCGGGGCAATGACCGGTGAACATAGGAGCACTCCAGGGAGGATGGGTCAGAATGAGTGTTGTTCTTTATCTCTACACATGTCCAACGAGGATGTACCATTTCAATCCAGTTCATGATATGTTGGGTGGCACTTTGGCACTCAAGACATGTCAAGGCCAAACTGTTCTGCGTTGAGGGAGAGACGACCGGACGTTCGTCCAGATCTTTGAAAGAACAAATGTTTGGGCCTCGAGGTCAAGGTATTGGTGATGTATTGGGTCCATTTGGCTAAGACCCAGGTGTTTGGGGTAAGCAGGGAAAGGCAACTGACCTTGGGGCCGAGTTTTGCAGGATCTTCACATGCGACAGGGTTCATTTGTAGCACTCGCTATTCTACATACTGTCTTCTACTTGGTGTATCTTGGTGTTTTGCCTAGTTCTTTCATGTTCTTTCCTTTGTACCAATCCTCGTGGTGGGGCATCCTCATGTTGAGACAAAGCCACACACACACAACCCGCTGGCCAAGTCTGGCTCTTCATAATCTCCTGCATGAAGTCTCGACGCCATGGTTCTCAAAGCAAAGGGACTTCGTGGACTTTTGCTTGCTTGGAACCTGTTTGTTGGGCAGGCTCGGGTGCAATCTTGTGGGGTTCCACAGGTTCCTACAACATTAGCCATTATTGCTGTTTTGAAGTGTGACTTTAGATAACTTTGGAATTCTTTGTTTTGGATATTATTACTATTATGCATTTTTTGTCTGACTGTATTATATACGTATCATGAAAGCCTGGCTTTTCACATTCGCACTTGTAGATGTTCAGTGGGGTGTCTTATTCCATCAAGGCCAAGCTATGGGACAAGATCGAGACTGAATCCGCACCACCGGGACGTAGCCTGGCGGAATTGAGGTGATGAGCCGAAGGGTATTTTTATGCTTTTGCTGGGTTGAAGTTGGGAGCGTCAAAGATAGGGCTGCAACCAGACCGCAGTTTTGGGGGTGATGGGTATTGTCCAGGTTCCGCGACGAACGACCTTGGGGGATTTGATGCCCCTTTGTGTCCAACTAGGGTTCAGTGTCCATTTGGTCTCCCATGATCAAGCACCGAATTTGGAACATCTTCTTTACCCGATTTTGGGAGCTACTCACTGAGCTACTCAGACCTGCCATGAGCTACCACTGGAGTTCGGAAAAAATGAGGGTGTGTCTTGAATTGGGGAGTCTCCCCAAAGACAAGAGCAAATATAGACTCAGACCCTACACACCCAAATGGAGACCATTTTCAGTGACCGCGGCCAAGGATTTTTGCATTCAATGGTCCTTCATGCACGGCGCATATGGATCTTTGGTGGGGCGGCGGGAAGCGGCAAGGGCCCCAACGACGGGCCCTTCAATGATTTGCTGCTAGACTTGGAAACCAATCCCAGACACTCCATGTATCGAATATCTACCTACATTGACCCCTCTTTGATAATCCAATAGGCAAATATGAATGTCACACACGGAGTCGCAGAGTGTTTCCGATATGATTTCTGCTCGTTCCTCTTGAGACGCAGAGAGGGCTTGTCAATCTGATGGTGCTGGAGTGCATTGGATGTGTTGGTTATATAGCTTACAACTTATAAGGGTGGTGGTCACACCAACGCCAGGAATAATGTTGGATCTTGATTAGTAAAAGGGACCCCCCTCTCAAACAAATGCGGGAGCCTCTATAAAAAATCTACCACCAAAACAAATCTGGGTTCCTAGGAGGATTCCTTTTGTAATTGATTGTAGTATTCATTTTCCTTTCTCTCTTTGTAGTAGTTGTTGTTGTAGTAGTAGTTGTTGTTGTTGTTGTTGTAGTTGTAGTAGTGGTAGTGGTAGTAGCAGTAGGAGTAGCAGTAGGAGTAGCAGTAGCAGTAGCAGTAGGAGTAGTAGTAGTAGTAGTAACAATAGTAGTTGTAGTAGTAGTAGTAGTAGTAGTAGTAGTAGTAGTAGTAGTAGTAGTTTGTTGTAGTAGTTTGTTGTAGTAGTTTGTTGTAGTAGTTTGTTGTAGTAGTTTGTTGTAGTAGTTTGTAGTAGTAGTAGTTTGTAGTAGTAGTAGTAGTATGTAGTAGCAGTTTGTAGTAGTAGTTTGTAGTAGTAGTTTGTAGTAGTAGTTTGTAGTAGTA